TAAATGTATTTTACATAATTCTTTTTTTATGTAATACTCATATTTTTAAACAAAAATATCAACAACGCGTGTTTTTCATTTTGAAACAAAATTTTTAATTGTTAAATTTCAATTGTTAGATTTCAATAGTTGCTATATTTTCTGAAGCGTAATTAACCTACTTGCTATGCATAATAGTGTATAAAAAATGTTTTGTTCTCTATTGTTATGCTTAATATAGAGCACATTAAATAATAGGGTATTATGTCATATAAATTTCATTTCTAAAGGAACAGCTTTTCTCTGTCCTTTTGTATTCTGATAATGTCATATTATCATAGTCAATTGTAATTCATTTCTTTTCTTTAATTCAAAGAAATTGCTTTGAGTATTATGTAAGAATGTATATAAATTAAGTCTGTTCCATTTTAATTTTAAATTTAGTTAGTTCTTTTTTGTCAAATTTCCAATTTCATTTAAAGAATAATTTAAATACCAATCTGAAATTTTTTTTAATTATAGCAATTAATTTATTTCAATTATGAGACGGTATTACGTTTATAAATACCATTTATTTATATTTACGAGCTTAAGATTTATTATATTAACATTTCTTATGTAAGAAATAAACTTATTAATTTAATTAATGATAAATAAAAATATCAATAATGGAATGTGTCAAATATGATTTCACTGAAAACAACAACATCAACAACCACGAATAGCTTAAATATAGTACTTACACAGTCAGCCAGAGACGCGAACTGTTGCGCAAGCGTGCAGATACAGATATAAAATGCATTCGATTAGTATTAGAGAGTATATACATATATATGTAAATATATATTGGTGTATATATGTATTCAGAGGAAGGTTGGTCGTGGATAATCATGATGCATGACATTAAGCCAACCGAGCGATGACATTCAAGTGTCGAGCATTGCGAGATGAGCAAAGCCAGCTAAACAAAAAAAGATTTTCAATTGCGGCCAACTTGTTTTCGATTAATTTGATAACGAGCCACAGCTGCAGCTTCAGCTACAGCTACAGCTACAGCTACAGCTTCAGTTTTCTGTGTGACTGCAAAATGTCAAATCAAAAACGAAAATCACGTTTTCGTTTTAAAGTCGGCCTAGTCATTAGCGGAGATTCGGCTCTGCTCATAAATTCGAGGTGTTGCTGAAAAATTTCACTTTTCCATGTGCGACGCAGCAGCTGCGGCTAATGCCGATTGAAAAATAAACAATTTGCGGCACACACACAAACACACACACTAATACATAAACAAAGTACACACATGTATATATATGTATATATTATATATTTACACATATGATTTGGCTTTGCGAGCGACTCACGAGAGGCTCACGCACACGTGAACGTGTCCAACTCCAAATCAAATCTATGGCCAAACTTGCGACTTGCTTGTGGAAAGTTGTTTGCTTTTGTTGTTGTATAGTTGTCGTTGTTGTTGTTGCTGTTGCTGTTGTCTCTTTTAACTCAATTTGAGTCTGGAATTGTTGTTTGCTTGCCAGCTTTGTTTGTTTATATCTGTGTGTATTTATACTCATTCACGAAAGTGAATCAGTATATTGGTTTTGTGCAATGTCCGTCTTGCTGTCCGTCCGTCTGTCCGTCTGTCCGTCTGTCCGTCCGTCCGTCTGTCCGTCTGTCCGTCTGTCCGTATGAACGCAATCTATTTCGGCGCTATTGAAGCTAGAGACTTGAAATTTGGAACACATACTCGTGTATATCTCCGATTTATAAAGTGTTAAAATTTTCCCGATCCGCCCACTAGGGGCGTGGCAAATCGGAAAATGCATTTTCCGATATACCAGAAATCATNTTTGTCGGATATATGTCCGCCCACAGGGGGCGTGGCAAACCGCAAAAGTTTATATCTCCTAAAGTATAATAGCTAGAAGCTTCAAATTTGGATAGTTGAGTTACTGGTAGCCTCCTCTATCGATTCCCCAAAAATAATTTTTACGCCTCTTTAGGGGCGTGGCATATCGAAAAATACCCTGTAATTTTCACATTTTTTTAGGGTAAGCATTCAAACTTTGCAGTTAGGGTAACGTTATCTCTTTCTAAAAACTGACAAAAAATGAGGTGTCTACGCCCAGTTGGGGCGTGGCAAATCGGAAAAACCTGTATATTCTACAGTATTAGAACGAAACTTAACTAYTAAATTGTTGATKGKATGTGAATGAGTATTCCGCAGTCGGTAACGCCCGACTGCAACGTTCTTACTTGTTTTAATGTTGTTAAGTTCAAGCCAACCCAAGCCAGGCAACCACAGCAACAGCAACAACAACAGCAAAGACTAAATCATTATTAACCGCAAATACCACAGAAGCAACAAGTTTGATCAACCTCTTACATCTGTACATACATATCTATATACACTGCTAATAATATATACATATATACATCGATTACAGCAAATGAAGTCTTCAAGGCGCCAGATGATACAAACAAATTCGTGTGCTTGTATCGCATTTTTGTAAGCACTCGTAATACAGGGAATTCGWATTGCGAATAGTTCAGTGCTGAAGCTTTTAAATAAATATATATGAATATTTGTATACGTATAGTATATTAGTTAAGTAGATAAAAACCTTTTCACTCTAGCTTAAATGGCTTCGATAGTATTGAACATAATCGAAGAAAGTGAATGTGGGCAATAAACTGATAACACGCAGTGTACATAAATGCATTAGTTATTACTTGAATGATTTATTGGAATTTTATAAATATTCCTTAACATTCCTTTTACTTACTGTTCAATTGCCAAATTAATCAAGTAAACTTCAACTTAAGGCAAAGTAAATATAAATTTATTGCATTTCTGTTTGCTTCCTTCATCTTGCCTTCATTTAACACGTGGAAACTTTCCTGACCAGTCCTAACACTATCAATGTAATTGAAATCTCAACTTGATAACGATAAGCTGTCACTATTTCATATGCATTCATTACAATTACTTTACAAGTGGAACCTCTTCAATGTGGCAGTAAGTGATTTGCGACATGGTCGCACGATGCGAACAGAAATTGATGCATGAATGAAACTTTTCAATTTCGGAATCGAATATTTCGCTGCACGTGTGGTCGTCAGGTCTGGCAACTGACGATAAAATAAAAAAAATAAAAAAATAAAAAAAAAAAAAAAAACAGCCTTATAATTAATGTGCGAGAACAACTTTCCAACGATCAATGACGAGGCAGCCGTTGTGACTGCGATCGTCATCTCCGGCATGAAGCCGACCATGACTCGAAATAAAAATGAAAGTGCTCGACCCGCCAGCCGCTGATCAAGGGCCACTGTCGGTTATTAGCCGCGATTTAACCAATGCCAGCTAATCTGGCCACATTCATAAGTACCACACACATGTAACCCGAACCGAACCGAGCCGAACCAAAGCGTCTGCATGCGCGGCTATGATGGCATGTGATTAATAAGTTTCGCACGCTTACTTATTGAGCGCCCCGCCGCGCCACGTAGAAAGTGGTATCTTGGACAAATCTTGAAAGAGACAAAACGCTCCGCCGACCAATAAACAAACAGGTTGATCGACATCATTTTCGAGGTCGCCCTCCGCATGCTGAATCAGAATTACGTATTTCGGCTGCACATCAATATTTATTTTGTACGCCCTGAGCAAATTGGAAATGGGAAAATCAGCGGATCAAATATTCCTATTCAGCATTTTGTTAATGTAGAGGTGATTATGAGGTCCCAATTACTTGATAATCACTTCTATTTTAAATCAATCCTACGATTTAAATAATAATCGATAGTCGATAAACTGTCATCGATATCTCTCCTACTTTAATAACTTCAATAACGCTTTTATCGGAAATTTGTTTACTTTGGTATATGTATATATAATTGAAAGATTAACTCAGATTTAATTGTCAGATTTATTTAGATTTAATAGTTAGAGAAAAGTATGAAAATAGTTTATTTGATAAATAATCACAAATACCTAATTTTTATATCTCGATAATTGACGGAACTTCAAGAAACTGCTTCAGTATAAACTTAAATTTTGAATAAAAAAGACTGAAGAAGAAAATGTATAGTATAATATGGAGTTATATTTAAATAATATAAAAACCTTAATAAACAATAGAGTAAATTTAAATTCAATTTTCTAGTTAAACTAAAATTATATATAAAATAATTAACTAATATAATATGATATAAAAGACGAATATTGCTGTATGCCAATCATGCACAAACTCCAACAAAACAATACTAAGGACTAGAGACGGAATACATTTGATGTATATTTCTCAAATAACTTCAGCAGTAAAAAGAGAATATATGTTTAGAACTGACCAATATTTATATACGAAAATTGATATTCTATATTTACCCCTTTTCTTCAGAAAAACGAAAAATTTCAGAAACACATTTTATCATATATAATATTATATTTTATTTTTATATATCAATTCAGATATGAATTTTTTAAAATTAATTTTCCACATTTGAATTAATGACAGATATAAAGTAAAAAGGAGAAAGTAGTTCAATTTAAATTTGATTATATAAATTTAATGAAACTAGCGATTATAAACGTCGCATTAGTCTCACACTCTCACAGTCAGCTGTCAGCTATACCCCACTGCAGTTTCAAGGGTATACGAATCGAAAGCTCAAAAGAAATCGAAAGCGAATGGGAATTGGAATGGGAATGGGAATGGGARTGCGAGCCAAACATCAAGTGCAACAATCGAATGAGCCGATGAGCAGCGATCGCGGCAAGTGCATGCCAGCATGCCAGATGGAGGAAGACGGAGATGCCGGCGAGAGACAAAGAGAGCTGGGGTGTGGATGTTGGCTGTGAATATACTACAGTGGAAGTGGCAAAGTAGTGGCACGCCATGGCACCGACTACACTGCACGGCAAGGCACGACACGGCACGACACGACACGGCTAGTCGCAATGAGTGCATCGAGTGACCAACATCAGAGGCGAAATGAAAGCGAATGTCGTCGATGCAATGCGCTCGCTCTCTGTGGTCGTTGCCCCGCAGTGCGCGTTACAGTTCAAGCTCCATTAAAGAAATATATAAAATGCGGAGAGCCTTGTGTTGCCTTATACCCCAGGCGGTGCGTGGCGCTGCAGATCGTTTGCCTGATGCCGATGCGGATCGATGGCCCAGCTAACCGATTTATAAATCGCTTGACCAGTTTTTCTGGGCCCTCTGCCCAGAATATTATTGTCCCTCAGCAGCGTGCACTTGCTGCAAGTTTTCGGCGCTTTTTGTGTTATCTTTCAACGCATTGTCCCATCGCAATGGGCGTGCCCATTGTGTAACAGGCGAAACCAGACAGCAACAGCAACAGCAACGGCAACGACAACGGCAACAAAAAACATGACTTTAGCCACCATCAACAACAGCAACAACAAAAACTCCGGCAGCTCGGGTCGCACAGCATTTTCACTTTCGTTGAGCATTGCGCAGCAACTGCATCTGCCCGACAGCGAGATGAGGCAACCGCCAGATGTTGTGCTATTATCGTAAAGCTCGTTATGGCAGAAGGGTGCATGGCACAGGGCTACAAAGATGCGGTTAGCCTGTATAGACATGCCTGTCATGTGCAACTCCTCGCCATCAGCAGAGATCTATTCTCCACACTGACTCCATTGTAGTTCACTTCTAAGCCTTCACACTCCCAAAGCCAACACAAAGGCGAAAATAATTGAAACTTTACTCTAGACTTTAGATTCCGCTGAAAATTGTTAACT